TAACTCTTATTTATCCCATAATTATTTGATGTAAAATTAGATAATAATGTATTTTTTTTTTTTTGTAAATAAAGAGGGGCTAAGCCCCAGAAACAGAAAGAAATTACAAATCAGAAACTAACAAGCTAGACATATTTCTAGCATCAGCAACTATAAGTTCCATCAACTGAGGATGAGGATCTTTAAAAATCTTGAAATGGAGATTATTAATCTGCCGAGCTTTAGCTAACCAATGAGCACATTTGTTGTTTTCTCTCTTGGTATGAACAAGATGAATAGTCCAATCTGCTTTTAACCATAATCTCAATCTGCTAGTGACTTGAGAGTCCCTAGGATCTTCATGCTGCTCCTTTAACATCTGGATGGCTTGGCTAGAATCACATTCTAGCTCTATTCTTTTTAATCATGTTCCCCAAAGCAGTTCCAAACCTTTCAGTAATCCCCATAATTCTGCATCAAGAGGATTGCAGGAACCTAAATTACAATAGAAGCTTCCCAAAAAGGATCCATTGTGATCTCTTAATATACCACCACAACTAGCTTTTTTCATGCCACTAGAAGAAGCTCCATCACAATTCAACTTAACCCACCCTTGCTTGGGGGCTGTCCAAACGCTATCGTTGGAATCACCACGGCGTTGATAAATTCGGGCTTGCAGAATCTGTTGGACAAACATCCAAATTGAAGCCAGCGATTGCTCATCATGACAGAAATGATCTTCATGGATCTCCAAATTTCTCCACTTCCACAAAAACCAACAAGTAGTAAAGAAAATATCCCTCCAGTCCTTCACTTTATTGGAGGACCACATGTTATCGATATTTAAAGTCAACCAATCCTGCAAATTCGAATTCATAAAGGAATTGGGATCGAACCTGTAAACCAAGATTGCCAAATTTTCCTAGCATGTCTACAATCACGAAGAACATGAATAATAGTTTCCTCATGATTTGGACAACTTGGACAAACATTTGAACCTCCGCTCCACTTACTGGTTCTGCTGCGCACTGAAAGTTTAGCAAGCAAAGTCATCCACATAAACACTTTCACTCGTTCAGGTCCATTCCACGACCAAACTTTTTTCCATAAGCTAGTGTGAACATCTGCTGGGAAGTTCATAAGATTACAGTAAGCGACCTTAACCAAAGAAGTTGAGTGATGATTATTGATCCAAACTAATCTATCCTCCTCATTCCTTGGAATAAGCCTGAGATGATTTGTTACTGTATCAGCCAAATCTGACTCTAGAAATTGATGGACAACTTCAAGACGGAAACCATCATCCACCATGTAATCTGCAATTGATTTCTGACTCTCCTCCCACGGCACCTGATTGCTCGACAACTGCTGCAAATTTTCCTCCCATCCCAACCAGTTATCAGTCCAAAGCTTTACTTCAGAACCATCTGCTATTTCCCATCTAAGACCAGCAAGGAAATTACTACAACATTTAGCAAGATCACGCCAAAGTTTAGAGTCATATGATTTTGCCTTTATACCTCTCCTTAAGTCTTGACCTCTACCATACTTGGCTACTAAAATCTTAACCCATAAATCATCTTTCTTAGTTAACACCTTCCACGCCAGTTTATGAATATAAGCTTCATTTTGGAGTCGAAGATTAATTATTCCCAAACCACCTCTATCTTTGGGTTTATACATTTGATCCCAAGTTACTAAATGAGTCTGCCTTCTGCAATCCTGATCTCCCCAAATGAAAGCCATTTGTATCTGCTCAATTTCATCAGAAAACGTTACTGGTAAAAGACCATTCTACATATGGAAAGAAGGGATTGCAGCAATGACCGATTTCACCAAAGTAACTCGACCAGCAAAAGAAAGGCAATGGATTTTCCAACCATCCAGTTTTGAACGTATCCTATCCTTGATAGCTCCATAGTCTGCTTTAATATATCTCCCTTGTTTAACAATAGAGCCTACATATCTGCCAATACTAGAAGTGCGCTTAAAGCCCATTCTGTTGACAATCCTTGCAGCAACTTGAGTATCAGTATTCGGGGAAAAATAAATCAAAGATTTATTTGCACTAACACTTTGCCCCGACATCTCACAAAAGAGATTAATACAATCCATAATCACCTTAGCTTGCTCCATATCTGCTTCCGCAAAGAGAATGATATCATCTACAAATAAAAGGTGGGATACACTCGGCCCTCTTCTGCAGACTCTAATAGGCTTCCACGAACCCATAGTCACTTTTTCAGCGATTAAGTGAGAAAGCTTCTCAACACACAACACAAAAATATAAGGAGAGATTGGATCCCCTTGACGAATTCCTCTCTGAGGAACTATGCAATCCGAAGCCACACCATTTATCAAGACCCTCAAACGATTAGAAGTTATAGAAGCCATTATAACACCAATCATCCAATCAGGAAACTGAACTTCAATAAGCACTTTATAGATAAAACTCCAACTGAGTTTATCATAAGCTTTTTCAAGGTCCAGTTTGATTGCCATTGTACCTTTCTTTCCTTTTACTCTCCCCATAGAATGAACCAGCTCCTTTGCTACTATAATATTATCCTGAAGCTGACGATTTGGCACGAAGCTAGCTTGGTAAGGAGAAACTAAATTCACCATTGTAAGCTTAAGCCTATCCACAATGATCTTGCTCATACCCTTATAAATGACATTACACAAAGAAATAGGCCTGAATTGAGAAACATACATTGGCTTAGGAACTTTGGGGATCAAAGTGATTAGAGTACCATTGGCTTCCTCAATGCTGGAAGAGTTTTCTGCGTAATACTTGATATCTCTCCAAATCTGTTCACCAATAAATTCCCAGTTCTTTTTGTTGAATGTTGCGGTATAGCCATCCTCCCCTGGAGCTTTCGAATCTTTCATAGAAAAGAAAGCTCGTCTGACTTCATCTTTTGAAATTGGAGCACCTAAGTTAATAGCAGTCTCATCGTCCACCTTTGGCCAAAGAGTCTGGACCCAAGGACGATCATGGTTTTCTTCAAAAAATAGTTTAGAGAAGTAAGCATTTATTACCCGTGCAATGTTGTGATCTTCTCTAATCAAGTTTCCAGCATCATCTTTCAACTCCAAGATCTTGCTCCTTCTACGTCTAACAATTGTTTTTGTATGATAGTACTTTGTATTCCTATCTCCTTGAGCTATCCAAGTAGCACGAGACTTTTCAAACCACAAAAGTTCCTCCTGTTCTAAAACTTGTTCAAGTTCACCCCTTATCTTGCCTTCAATCTTTTCCAAATGGCTTTTATTCTGCTCAGAAATTGCCCTCTGGATACCTTCAAGCCTACCAATCAATCTGTTCTTCTTATGATGGATATTACCAAACACATCTTTATTCCACTGCTTAATAAGAGGAGTGAAATCACGAAGACTATCAACTGTTCTTTGATCCTGACGCCAGTTTTCCTTGATGAAATTGTTAAAAAATTGATGATCCAACCAAAAAGAATGAAAACGGAAAGGGCGTTCCACCTCATCAACTTTGCTTGGCTCTAAGGTAATAAGGATAGGATTATGGTCACTGTTAATACGAGGAAGCACTCGAACCTGGCCTTCATGAAACATCAACCTCCATTCAGCATTGCTACAAGCTCGATCTAAACGTTTAAAGACTCTATCTAAATGAAGAAATCTTGGTCCTCACCATGTAAATTTAGAACATATTCCTTCAAGATCAATAATCTTTATATTAGTTAGAAGAGAAGAAAATTTATTGCATCTGCTAGTATCAACTGGAGCACCACCACGTTTCTCACTTGGAAAGGCAATTTCATTAAAATCACCTGCAATTAACCAAGGAACCGAGATATCTTCTGATAACTGAAGTAAATCATCCCAAAGTCTCTTCCGAATTTCTTCTCTAGGACTTGCATAGATAACAGTATAAAGAAAAGCTTGATGATCTGCCAATGTAACACGAACATGAATAAATTGATGGGTCTGTTTTAATGCTTGAACCTGACACCTATCATTATTCCATAGTAACCAAAGACCTCCCGTAAATCCATGAGCATCCTCCACTATTGAATTATTAAAACCCAGCTTTTTTATTATCTGTTTTGCTTTTGAACCACTTACTCGAGGTTCAAGAATAGCTGCCACCTCAATCTTATGCCTTCGAACCATCATTTGAAACGTTGATTTGAAGCACTTTTTAGCCGCCCCGCGGCAATTCCATGTAACTAAAGACATTAATCAATGGTAATTTGGCAGGATTGTGGGTCCACTGCCATCCCATTGTCATTGCACTGAATTTCAGATTCTGAAATCATCTCCACCTCAATATTGAGCTTATGGTTTATTGGGATATGCTTTCCTTTATCTCTACTTGGATCAGGCGCTTTTGGTTGGGACAAGCCATGATCTAAGCCGTTGATATTTTGACCATCCTTATCCACCGCCATTTGATAACAATCTTTGTTATAATCAGCAACAGTACTCCTAGCCACCATGGAATCTCCACCGCTTTTACCTCCAATGTCCTTACTATTATGAATCGCAACTTGCCTCCTCAAGTTTGTTGTATTATTGTTTGAGGTACCTCTGTCAACTATCTTCCCATTTATTTGATTCTCTTTTTCATGACCTGTCGTAATCCCACTTAACGTAAATCGGTTGGGGTGTTCCTGTAATTCAACATTAGGACAGCTTCTAGGGTTTCTGTGGTTGGACCCTTGAGATGTACTAATATCAATATTAACAGGAGGGCCCACCATATTGACGTCATTTATAACAGCATCCGGATTAGTCGCTGGGATATCATGAGTAATATCATCTTCATTAGAGCCCATTAAAGCAGCGTAACGGGAATTTGATTGATTATCAATCATAACCGGCTGATTTGATTGCGGTTGATTACTCCCTTGATTATTCCCTTGATTATTCCCTTGATTACTCCCTTGATTACGCCTTGATTCCCTTCGAACCGGTTCCTGCTTCCTGTTGTCCGCCATTGGAGTTTGAATTCTTGATCGACGTTGACGTTGCACCACCATTCAAGGACCTAATCCATTTTTCTGAAACTCAGCCTCATCTTTTTTCCCGTCTTGATTTTGCTGATTATCCTTTCCTTCAACTGGTATCTCAGGACAACAATCTTTACTATGTCCATAGCGCCTACAACGGAAACAAATAAGGCCTAAGCCTTCATATTCTATCTGTTTAGTTGCTCCGTCCAACACATATTCACCCTTCAGAGGCTGAGCAAGATCCAGTTCCACGCAAATTCGAGCAAACTGTCCTCTTACATGCTCATTAGTTGTCTTATCGATCTTCAACATTTTACCTAGCCAGTTACCAATACGGCGGAAAAAGGCTTCATCATAATACTCCAGTGGGATACCCGGTAATCGCACCCAAGCTGCAATCTTCATCACACTTGCAGCATTTGGTCTAAAAGCTGGCTCCCAACGTCGGAGTGATAAATAATGGCCTAAAATAATCCAAGGACCACCATTTAGAGCAAAAAGAAGATCATCTTTGTTGCTAAATTGCACCACATAGAATCCATTACCTACATCTGTAACGTTAATCTTTCCAGCTCTAGCCCATAGTATTTCAATCTTCTTTTTCATGAAAGCCACTCCTGTATTCCTTCCAAGTAGTTTTACAATGAGAGCTTTTTCCCAAACCTTCAGCATTCTTGTTCTTGCTTTTCTAGTACAACCAAAATGAGTTCTACATCTTCCTCTGTCCACATTTTAATCCCACCATAATTCACATCCTCTTCCTCCGCAGGTGCACTTTGATCAACATTTTCTTCCAAATTCCAATCCATTCCTTCCCAGTCATCTGTTTCACCATTGTGTTGCATGAGCATCTCTCGCCAAGTCATTTTTTTATTACCGTCGTCAACCATCCAAGATTCATGTATAGGAACCCTAGACTGTGATTCAGTAAACACCCTATCTCCATCTTTATTTCTCTTATTACTCCTTCGTAGTAGATCTTCTTCTTCTTTTGAAGTTTGACCTTCAGTAGCTATATTTTCCTCCATGAAAAGGAAAACCCTAGCAGAGCGTTTTCAACTGTGTTGTCTACTTTTAATGTATGTTTTTTAAGTATAAAAGGCAACGTCGTTGCACGTGATTCTTACGTCTGCTTGGATCTTCTGTTCAATATAATGTCGTGGAATATGGTGCCATGATCTGGATCCTCTCCAATCTCACGGACAAAAATGGGATGGGAAGTGGCAAGCAAGTGGCCAAGCAAGATTTTTGGCGGTTGTCTCTTGTCTTCTCTCTGTTGTAGTCTTCTATATATATTCGAAGCAAGATTTATACCATATTATTTAAAGCAAATGTTATATTTATAAAAAATTTATTTATAAATTTAATTATGTATTTTCGAAAATAAATTCGATTAAGAATATATTTTCGATAATATATAATATAATTTGTAAAAAAAAAATTATAAATATAATATACCCTTATTTGAAATATCAACTTTAATATGATATTTGTAAATTATTCATATACTTATGTAGCTCTAAAATCAAGCTTGAATAATAATAATAATATTGAAGCTCAAATCTACAACACTTTTTGAGAAAGTAAAACGTAGAGAGAGAGAGAGAAAGAGCATTATGCTAGTGATGAAATAATTGATATGCTTTCAAGTTTCATGAGCTAAACAGACTAAGGATTTGATATTAATTAAGTGATAAATGCTGTTATTTAATAGAATTACTGATAATCCTTCCTTATAGACACTATAATTGAGTTTGCGTATTTTGCAGGAGAAATCACATAACAGCTGCATGCTCGCGCGAGATTGGCGCGAATCGCGCCACGAAGAAAGAAAAAGAGCAATATCTTAAGTTCTCCCGTGCGAATGGCGCGGGATCTGCGCGGATCGCGCCAAGAATAAAGAAACATAGCCTCACCCTCTGTCCATCCGCGCAGATCCCGCGGATTGCGCGGATGCCACATGTATTACTTAATGGATTGGGATTTTAATTCAAAAAGGACTCTAAATCAAAGATTTGATCAAGATATGAAGAGATCTGAACCCTTTCTATAAATAAAAAGGGTAAAACCCTTATAAGGCATCTTGGGGCTGAGGAGTTGTGGAAAATCAAAAAATTGAGAGAGTTCTTAGAAGCTCACGCTGGAGATCAGGATTCCGGAGAATTTGAAGATTGAAGATAATTGACTCTTCTTCTTCATCTTCTTTTTCTTTTCTTTTCATCTCATGAATTTTCTTTATTATTTTAATTTGTTTAAGTCAGATATGTTTGACTAATTTTCTTTTGTAGTTGGGATCGCGGATCCAATGTGAATACTTTATATTTTCTAAATTATTTTTATAATTGTTTACATCAATTAGTTTTATTTTACCTGAATGAGTTTTTTCATATTCTTATTGAATCTGATCAATTTTATAGGATTTTGAGGGTTAGAGCTCACAATAGGCATATTGGGGTTTTAATTCTGGCAAGGGTAAAATAACAATCTGTGTATGATCTAGACATAGGCTTACATAAATTGCAGACTTCTAAATTCATCCCGTTTAATGCTTGATTCAAGAGGGATTACTAGGACACTAGGATTCTAATTGGTTTAAAAGATTAAACATACTAAGACATTAGGGTTTAACTAATTAATTTGAGAAAAATAAATTGTTTGAATTAATGAATTAATTAATTATAAAAATTAATTAAGAATTATAAAGAAAGATCAAAGATGAAGTGCATCTTGACTACAGTTTTCTTACGTTAATTACTTATATTTTCTCTTACGTTCTTGATTAAGCCTTCAATTTTGTTTAGGCATATCAATTTTAAAGGTCTACTAACAAGTTTTTAAAAAAAAATTTAAGAACACTTATTCACCGCTTCGATCCTCATATGAAGAAGTCACTTGCCCAACATTTTATTGTCAGTCATGTTCCATTCACACAAGTCAAAATTTTGGAAGGAATTATTCATATTGAAGGTCAAGAGAAAGCATTTTGTTAAATTCACGAAATCCAACAAAGTGTTTGCCCCTAAAGACTCAAAACGATTTGACTTAATCTGCCCATTGTATTTGTGACCATCAAAAATAGAATCTTCCCAACCAAAGCATAACTCTATTATAATTTATATATGAAGGTAGAACCAGAGCTCCTGATATATCACAAGAGACACGCCTATACCTAGATGTGTTATTTTATTGCCTTGAAACAAAGGAGCATCCGAAGTTTTTGCTGATGGGTAACCTGCACCTGTTGTGGTCCCCCTCAATTCTCAGTCTCAGACTCAAATGGAATGGGAAGTAACAAGTAATTGGCCAACAAAGATTTTTGGCGGTTGTCTCTTGTCTTCTTTGTACGGCTTGCCAGCTTTGGCTTGGCCTCTGCTTCACATTCATATGCTATATACATAGTCTTCTATGTACCAAGAAACTATATTATCTAAATATCAATTTTTTCTGATATTTATAAATTACTTAAATACTTATGTGGCTCTAGAATTAAGCTTGAATAATAATATTCAAACTCATTAATCTACACTACTCATTCTGCTGCAATTTGTGAAGTCAATAAAATGCTTAAGGGTTCGTTGCCAAGTGATAGCTATAGCTATGCTTAAAAGAAACATTCTTTATTTCCATTCTTCTTCTTTTTTGGCTACTCATTGTTTCCATTCTTTTTTCTTTTTTCTTTTTTGAGATATTTCAATCGATTCATCGCTTCATTATTAGTCCGATTCGGGGCGGATCCTGGAATTAAGGCTTTAAACTTCTTTTAAATACGGTACTGGAGAGAATTGAACACATACTTTCACCCCACCTATTTAATTTTCTAGCGCCAATTTAGCTATCATTGTTTCCATTCTGTATGATAAGCAAACATTCTTTTATTTGTTTTTTTAAGCCCGCAGTTTAGGCAATAAAATTTTATGGAGTTTCAAATATTGGGCCTACCCATAACATGTAATCTATGGCCCAAATACTGGTCAGCCCAGATCTATCATTCTATTTATGATTTGAAGAGGAGGCTGGGTATTTGGGTTGGATCCACGAGGACTCCAGATTTAGGGTTATCGGAGGCCATTTATCAAAGTAATTTAATTCCTTTCATTTTATTTAAACTAACATGTTTTCACTCTTTATTGAGATGGATTCATCCAAAATAAGTTTTATGCCTAAACCCATATATATTACAACAATTAGGTTTCTCTAGTTTGAACCAAAACACAACTATTTTTATTTGCGCATTTTTACGGTTAAGGCAGAGATTCATCACCCCATCAAAATTTTGAAAATACATGGATACATATAGCAAAAAATAATGGAATCCTAAACGTGCCCCACAAATACGAGACGTATAGCTAGGGACGTGTAAAATAACCAAAAAATTGGGCCGAACCATGAACCGAATCAAATTGTCCCATAAAATAACCAGTTTTTAAAAATCAGTTCATGAACCGAACCGGTTTTTAAAACCGGTTTAAGAACCGAACCGGTTTAAGAACCGAACCGGTTTAAGAACCGAACCGTTTTCGAACCGAACCGAACCATTTTCAAAACGAACCAAATTAATTTTTATAACTATTTTTTAAATTTTTAAATTTTCTTTTCAAAAGAGAGTCGACCCGAACCGGTTCTGAACCGACCGAACCATTTCCGAACCGAACCAAACAACTTCCGAACTGAATCAGTTTTGAACAGAACCGAACCATTTTCTAACCGAACTATTTAAACTAATTCGGTTCGGTTTTTAAAAAAAATCAGTTCGGTTCAATCCATGCACATCCCTAGATATAGCACAAAATTTGTATCTCTTTCATTTCAATAACTAGCGGAGGGTGTAAAGAGCAATGTTCCCACATAATCGTCAACCGTAAAAGTGCTTTTATCATCTCCATGCTGATATATGACCTGAGCAGTTCTAGCCATGTTAAGAGAAGCTTTCGCAATTGACACAGGTAGAGCGGATGTGGTTATGGCAAGACCATTGAGCTCTGGCCACAAGTTCCCTATAAGCCTCCTTATATGTTTCCTGGCTTCATTTTCATCTGAAATATTATTTTCTCTCATCAGGCACTGTATGCTGCAAGCATTATCCCCTCTTTCTTGTTCCTCCTGAACATTAATCATAAAACATCTCATCACAAAGAGTTTCCTGTTCTAATGGATTAATAATCCAATTATTTTTTATTTAACACCCATTTTGGTAAAATTAATCCACTTAATCACATAGAATGTGAAATACTTTTTATCTGTAAATGTAAAGAATCAATTAAATTTAAAAACTTAAATTGTTGGGTGAAACTATTTTTTAACATAACTGCAATTTGAATTTTTGTGAGAATTATGGTAGTATCGGAATGTAAATCAATTAATAATTAGATATAAGAGAAGTGTAAGTAAAAGTATAAATTGTTAATATAGTGAGATACCCTTGAGGTTCCTAAGTCGTCCCAAAGCCGAAGAATTTCACCAGAGCAAGAGAAGAGCCTAGGATATGGCTTCATCATTGATATGGTTTCCTTTGAGAGACCATCTCCAATGAGGAAAGTTGCATGCACCAAGGCCATGTATGATCCTGAAGAAATCACCCCATTATCCAAATATTCTCTAAAAGTTGGCGTGTATCCGTTGTTGAACCATTTGGCTTCTTCTAGAAATGCTTCAAATATGTCAATCCACTGCACCAATAAGCACTTGTTGTTGAAAGTATGCCTACAAAAGCTGCAAAGTGGGATATTTTATTTAGATTTTAGGAGTTTGTTATTTTCTGTTTTAGCATTTCAAATTTGATATGTTGTTGATTCTGTTTGTTAAGATTAGGATGTTATTATTCATGCCTACAAATAAGGAGATATCTGATTTGTTCAGTTAGACTTTAACTCTATTTAAAGAGTTATTCAATAAAAGTTATGTGTATTCTCTGCACAACACTTTCAACCCTCTTTTCCTCTTCTTTTACTTTTCTTAAAATAACAAATTGGTATCAGAACTACTATTCCGAGGGATATGTGAGACTGAGTGACAACCCCAACCACAATTCCTAAACACAAACACAAACACACGCAAAACCTTTTCAGAATGAATTTAGAAGGTTCATCCATTCCAATTGCGCTTCCAGTATTTGATGGTCAAAATTATCACCTCTGGGCTGTTAGAATGGAAGCCTATCTTGATGCAAGTGACCTTTGGGAAGCTGTTGAACAAGAATACGAAATTCCAACCTTGCCTGATAATCCTACTATGGCTCAAATCAGAAACCACAAAGAGAGGAAGCAGAGAAAATCAAAAGCAAGAGCAACCTTATTTGCTGCTGTATCATCCACTATTCTCACCAGAATAATGACATTGAAAACAGCCCACGAGATTTGGGATTTTTTGAAGCAAGAGTACGATGGAAATGAGAAGGTTAAAGGGATGCAAATGTTGAATCTGATCCGAGAATTTGAGATGCAAAGGATGAAGGAATCAGAAACAATTCAGGAATACTCCAACAGGCTTCTTGGTATAGTCAACAATGTAAGACTTCTTGGTACTGATTTTTCAGATTCTAGAATTGTTCAAAAAAATTTAGTTACAATTCCTGAAAAGTTTGAAGCCACAATTGCATCTCTGGAGAACTCAAAGGATATGTCAAGTATTTCCTTGGCAGAACTATTAAATGCTTTGCAGGCACAGGAACAGAGAAGAAAAATGAGACAAGAGGAGGAGGTACAAGGTGCTTTTCATATAAAAACACAAAATTCTGGAGGAGGCGAAGATAAGAATAACAACAAATGGAAGAGTGAGAGGGGTGAAGGCTCCAACAAGCAGCAATATGAGACTTTTCCACCTTGTCCACACTGCAAAAAAACAAATCACCCTCAAAGAAAATGTTGGTGGAGGCCAGATGTCGAGTGTAGAAAATGTGGCAATATAGGACACGTAGAGCGGATCTGCAAGTCTAAACTGGAAGAGGCAAAGGTGTCCACAGATGAGCAAGATGAACAACTCTTTGTTGCAACATGCTTTGCTACAAGCAATAGTTCCAGTGATTCATGGTTAATAGACAGCGGCTGCACAAACCATATGACCAATGACAAAAAGTTGTTTATTGAGCTTGACAACACCATCGTTTCCAAAGTAAAAATTGGAAATGGTGATTTCATATCAGTCAAGGGAAAAGGGACAGTTGCTATAGAAAGCTTAACAGGTTTGAAACATGTTTCTGATGTCTTATATGTTCCTGACATAGATCAAAATCTGCTTAGTGTTGCACAGCTTGTTGAAAAAGGCTTGAAAGTCATATTTGAAGACAAATGGTGCTTGATCAAAGATACGGAAGGAAGAGATATATTTAAGGTGAAAATGAAAGCTAAAAGCTATGCTCTTAATATGATGGAGGAGGAGCAATTAGCTTTTTCAAGTACTGTCAGCAACACTAAATTATGGCACAAGAGGCTTGGACATTTCCATCTTGCTGGACTTCTATACATGCAGAAACATGCCTTGGTGAAAGGTGTGTCATTGATTGAAGACAAGATGGATGATTGTGAGGCTTGTCAATATGGCAAGCAAGTCAGAAAATCATTTCCTCAAACAGCATGGAGAGCAACACAAAAACTGCAGCTGGTACATACAGACGTTGGAGGACCTCAGAGAACATCATCTTTAAATGATAATAGATATTATATTATATTTATTGATGACTGTACTAGATTTTGTTGGATTTATTTCTTCAAGTCCAAATCTGAGGTTGCTAACATTTTCTGGAAATATAAAGCATTGGTGGAAAATCAAAGTAATTGCAAATTGAAGACAATAAGGTCAGATAATGGGAAAGAATATACAAATGATGTTTTTGACAAATTTTGTGAAGAGTCTGGAATTGAGCACCAACTTACAACACCTTATACCCCACAACAGAACGGTGTAAGTGAGAGAAAGAATAGAAGCATTATGGAGATGACAAGGTGCATGCTACATGAAAAGGAGCTGCCAAAAAAATTGTGGGCAGAGGCTGCAAACACTGCAGTCTTCTTGCTAAATAGACTCTCTACAAGAGTTCTGCAGAAAAAAACTCCATTTGAAGCCTGGTTTGGTTACGAACCAGATTTACAAAATTTAAAATTTTTTGGTTGTGTTTGTTTTTCTTTTGTTCCACAGGTTAAAAGAGACAAACTTGATAAAAAGGCAGAACCTGGAGTTTTCATTGGATACAGTAGTACTTCCAAAGCTTATAGAATTTTCCAACCACAAAATGGAAAAATTCTTGTAAGTAGAGATGTTAAATTCATGGAAGACAAACAATGGAAATGGGAGGAGACAATAAATGAGTTGCCAAAAATTCCACAATACTTTGATGATGATATAGATGACATTCCAGTCAGAGGTACAAGACCGCTATCTGAAATTTATGAAAGGAGTAATGTAGCTGTTCTAGAACCTGCAGATTTCAAAGAAGCAGGGAAGGATGACAAGTGGGTAGATGCTATGAAGGAAGAGCTAAAGATGATAAAAAAAAATGACACGTGGGAGTTAGTGGACAGACCTCAACACAAGCAGCCTATAGGTGTCAAATGGGTTTATAGAACCAAACTTAATGCAGATGGTTCTATAAATAAATACAAGGCTAGGTTAGTGGTGAAGGGATATGCTCAGATGTTTGGAGTAGATTTTTCAGAAACATTTGCTCCAGTTGCACGCCTTGATACAATTAGAATGCTGCTTGCCTTGACTGCACATAAGGGATGGAAAGTTTACCATTTAGATGTAAAGTCTGCCTTCTTAAATGGTTATTTGCAGGAGGAGATATTTGTGGAGCAACCAGAGGGATTTCTAGTCAAGGGACAGAAGGATAAGGTCTACAAGCTAAAAAAGGCTTTGTATGGTCTTAAACAGGCCCCCAGGGCCTGGTACAGCAAAATAGATGATCATCTTCAAAGTCTTGGATTCATCAAAAGTCCAAACGATGCAACATTATATGTGAAGTTGTCAGATGCTAATTTAATTACAGTTTCAATCTATGTTGACGATATGCTTGTAACAGGAAATGATGAAAAGCTAATGCAGGAGTTTAAAGATGAAATGCTTCAAGTGTTTGAAATGACAGACCTTGGCTTGATGACTTTTTTCTTGGGAATAGAGGTGAAGCAAGATCATGATGGAGTCTTTATAAGCCAAAAGAAGTATGCAAAGGAAATACTAAAAAAAATTCATATGGAGGACTGCAAAAGCACTTCTACTCCAATGGACCACAAGGAGAAATTTAGCAAGGATGATGGAGCTGATAAAGTTGATGAACATCATTACAGAAGTCTAATTGGTTGCTTAATGTACCTTACTGCAACTAGGCCTGACATTGTATTTGCAGTAAGTATACTTTCAAGGTTCATGCATTGTGCTAGTGAAGTGCATTTTCAAGCCGCCAAAAGGATTGTGAGATATATTAAGGGCACTACAGATTATGGTGTTAAGTATTATCACTTTCAGAATTTTGAGCTTCATGGATATTCTGATAGTGATTGGGGAGGCTCAATTGATGACATGAGAAGCACAACTGGTTATTGTTTCAGTTTTGGATCAGGAGTTTTTTCATGGTGTTCAAAAAAACAAGATATTGTAACTCAAAGCACTACAGAGGCAGAATATGTGGCAGCCACTGCGGCTGTGAATCAAGCAATTTGGCTGAGAAATGTACTTGCTGATTTACATATGGAGCAAAATGAGCCAACGCAGATCTTTGTTGATAATCAAGCCGCTATTTCAATTTCAAATAATCCTGTTTTTCATGGCAAAACTAAGCATTTTAAGATCAAGTTGTTTTTCTTAAGAGAAGTGCAGAAAGAAGGTGAAGTCAAGCTATTGTATTGCAAATCTGAAGATCAAAGTGCAGATATTTTAACAAAAGCTCTCCCAAAAGCCAGATTTGAAGCTTTGAGATTTAAACTAAGTGTTTGCAGCTATTAAGGCAAGGAGGAGATTTGTTGAAAGTATGCCTACAAAAGCTGCAAAGTGGGATATTTTATTTAGATTTTAGGAGTTTGTTATTTTCTGTTTTAGTATTTCAAATTTGATATGTTGCTGATTCTGTTTGTTAAGATTAGGATGTTATTATTCATGCCTACAAATAAGGAGATATCTGATTTGTTCAGTTAGACTTTAACTCTATTTAAAGAGTTATTCAATAAAAGTTATGTGTATTCTCTGCACAACACTTTCAACCCTCTTTTCCTCTTCTTTTACTTTTCTTAAAACAACACTTGTTTCTCATTAACCTCTTACTCTTAGCTATAGTTCCTTATGTTTTTCAATTTGGTAGGATACTCTTACCGTTCTTTTCAAGTGATCAACAACGGTTAACTCGTCCCTTTTTTGAATTCTGTACGCAATTTCATGGGTGGTGTTATACAATGCCATATAGCATATCTTCATATATTCAGGCAGCTGCTCCATCGCATCAAGATCCCACCTATAAATAAAAATAGTTTCACATTTTGATTTTTAGTGTCAAAATAAAATCCGTTAGTTAAGTTTGATACACGAAAAATCTAGAAGTAGACCTTTTGATTGCCTTGGTGAAAAGAACAAGTTCATCTAATGTACCATAAGTATCAAAGATATCATCCATCACTAGCAAAATGCATATGGTTTTTGTAAGTTCAATGCGGCAAAATGAATAATGTGGTTCTGGAAAAATTCCCACTGTCCATAGGAAGCACTCTGTTGGTCTATCTCTGCCGAAACCAAGTCTGTCAACAAGTCCCAATTCTTTCCACCACCTAAACAAAACAAAGAAACTGTCACAAGCAACATTTCAAAGCATATTTGCTTTAGATATTATAATGGAAAAAAAAAAAGTTAGGGTGTGCTTGGTATGTATGTCCAAATATATTGTGAGCTTTTACTTAAATTTTCAAACACATTGATTCCGTGTGCTTGGTAGGAATCAATTCTTTGTTATGGTCATAACTGCAACATAAATTGGTGACAAATTCACAAAAAAATTGCCTAAACATAAAGACAAACTCTTGTTTTTAAGTTAATTATGAAAATAGTATAAAATTAAACCATCACAATTGAAGTCTTAAAAATTAAATTAAGGCCAACTCTAAGTGCGTCACACAAAGTTACCTTGAGATCTCTGCTAATTCTCTTTGGTGAAGCAACTGAACCATGTCAAAGTCTAACTTTGTCAATTCAAGAAGAGCTGGTATTTTGATGCTTGATTGGCTATATTCGTCCATGTAACTTTTAGCTTCTAATCTGGCCATTCTTAGGTGCCTTGGAAGTGTTAAGGCTCTGGAAACGTGCCTTCCTACTTCAGGGCCAAGGTATGGGATTGAGTGATGGAGATGAGCCCTTGTGAAGTCCATGGCATGCTGCAGTACTTCTTCACCTTCTGCCCCTAAATATGATGCCTCAAACAGGCTTAACATACCCCTAGTGTCTCTGCTGATTGATTCCTTAAAATTCCCACTCTTGTCCAAAAATTTCTTGAAAACGTCTACACTTAAATCAACATTTAATCAAATTAATAAGTACCCGTAGCAACACTTGGTAAGATACCTATACAAAGCTAAATAAATGAGGATATAATACATTAACACATAAGTGTAAATAATAATAAAGTTTTAGGTTTTAACAGAAAGCGAGTACGGTGACTTGTATCAAGTATCAATTCACTTAATAAGTTTAAATTAGGTGAACACTAAAATTTTAACTTTTTTATTAGAGGAACAATAAATGTTCACTCTAATAATATGAAGGAGAAAGATACAAAAACAATAATAATTATACATACCATTATTTGTGTAACATTTATGAAACTTGTTTTCTCTCATAATATTTGCAAGGACAAAAACTAATGCAAATAAATGTACCAGAACAAGTAGGCCAGGCATTATGCCTCAGCAAGCGGAAATGAAGGGCTGTGGCATAGAGGTCATGAGAGGTGTCCCAATCCCACAACCTTCCAAGCACTGAATTGATCTCTTCTTCGACATGATGCCCAATTCCAAGCCTTTGGATGCTGTCAATCATTTCCAATGTTTCCAGTGGATCACTTGACTTTTGCAATGCCTCTTGGCTTCTTCTTTTCACTTGCTCCAAACTTTTCGTCCTATGATCAGTTTGGAAAGGTGCCAACTAAAACCAACAACAAGAAACCCAATAAAGAAAAATGCTGACAAGTGGGAAAACGATTTCCTGAAGAAAAAAAACATAGTATCAAATTGCACTATTCACACACACACAAAGTAAAGAAAGAATAAAAAAAAACCAAAAACAATATGATTCTCAATGTTGAAACGCATAAATAAAAAGTTATGCTACACATCACAAAAGATTTTCGGGAAAACTCTCGGGAACATTATGTGGCAAACAGTTATAACCACCATCAATTTATTTTAGTTATCAACAAATTATTAAAGGTTCGTTTTTTTTTTTGCAGTTACTACAGATAAATTATCTGCAGCGAGCCTAATACGACGTCGTTTTGGGACGAAATCATGGTATTTTTGTAATTTTAATTTATTTCAGGGTTATAATAGTTTTTATATTTATAATTTTTAAAGATTTCAATACCAAAACGACGTCGTTTTGAGAATAAATGCAGATAACTTATCTGCAGTAACTGCAAAAATATTTTTCCCAATTATAAAAGGTAAAAAAAGAAAGAAAGAAGAGAAAGCACACGTTCCCAACCTTTTCACGAAAACATTTTCCATGAGATTTATCATTTTCAAGTTCAGGCAAAGGTAAAATGTATCACATATATCCTGCCCTTTTCACAATAAATTATAATGTTTAGATACATAAAAATTAATGATTAAAATTTAATATAAGACTTATTATTCTTATATTTATGTAAGCTGATCCTGCTGCTTCGTACGTGTGTGTGTGTGTGTTGGTGGGTGGGGGGAAGCTCATTTGACATTAATATCAAACTAAAAAAATTGATACCAAATTATAATCATTAATTTCAGTTAATTTAACTGTTATAATTTATTGAGAATTAATAATTAATTAATTATAACTATTAAATTCATGAAACGAGCGACTAAGAATTGTTATATTATTGACCAACAGAGATAGTATAATCATTTGAAAGAGAAAATTTTGTTTTTTAATTTTATATTTTTATTGACCAACGCACGTGTCTACGCGCACGTAAATATGAATATGATTAAAAACTTATGCGTTTCATCTTTTAAAAAGTGCTTTTGTGATATAGTTTCTGTTAGGAAATTTTTTAAAAATGAAATTATTATTTTATTTTTTATTTTTAAAAAAGCATAAATAATTTTTTTTAAATTAGATAATTATTATAAAAAAGTTTAATTAGAAAAAAACACAAACAAACTACACCTGAATTTAATTATTCCACATCATTCCTAAGTTTTGATTCTTTTGAAGATCTTACGTGTCGAGATTTGTTAAGACTTAAGAGGATATATCACCATTCATAAGAAAATTTATGATTTAGGGAAAAAAAATAGAGAAATTGTTTAAAGCTACCTTGTCATGAAAAGCAACGGATTTGATCGATAATACATTATGTATTCTCCCTGGTTTTGATGTTAGTTGCGATAAGTTCCATGTTTGATACGTGCATGACCGTGGATTGTGACGAGTAAGTGAACCTGTGAGAGATGAAACTTTGAACTCTGGAACAGCCATTATACTTGTAGACATGGACGAGTCCTCCGAAAGTTGTAAAAGGCTTGCATGATAAACACAAACAGATTGCCTGCGTTTATATAGACTCCTTCTAGTCTACAAAATTGACTACGAGAAAAAATCATAATGAATAACTTCAATTCATTCTCTGTTAATGATATCAGTATACGTTACCTAATAATATATAATATATAAAAAAAACGAGTATACAAAATGATTACTCATATTTCATTAAATATTCCATAGCAGCCATGGCTGTAATTGTTATCCAGTTCATCAATGAGAACGCTACAATTAAAAACAAGTGAAACTAAAACTAAGGCCCTATATTTTATAAATAAAATAAAATAAAATTGGGAGAATACGACATCCCGAGGATCACCGACGAACGGGGCAGTATGCGCTGCGCATGAGGAAAATTGTTTTTGTCAACATTTGAGGCGGCCCGGCGCTGGCTGCTGCATCATAAAGAAAATTGGGCCTGCTGATTTTTTTTTTTTTTTATATTTTATAAATGGTTTTAATTTTCTCATGCCATAAGTATCTAATGCTATAGACACATTTTATATGGAGTCCACATCTATTTAAAAAACAAAAAAACAAAAAATATTGAACGAAAATCGAAGGGTCATTGGTAGGAGAAAACAACTCTCCTACAACATAAGAAAATATTTTTTCTTTTATAAATATCACATATCTTTCACGGAAGACAATTATATTTGTTTTTTCCTGAAAATAGATATGTTTAGCTCAAAAGACTAATGAGTTTCTTTTGGATCTGAGTGCTCTCTCTAAGATATCTATGAATTAAATATCCTTGAATATAGCAGATCACTATGCATACGCAAGAGAAAAATAAGTTTTGTCAAAGGGGTGGTATGCGTACACAGTGACAGCATAAGAATAAAGAGAGAGAATGAATTATCCCTATAAGTTTTATCTCTTATTTATAGGATTTATCTGTGGGTATTTGAACTATGGACCATTTGTGCATCTTCTAGCAGTCTAAGCCTATGTTTGATGTTGTCAATTATGATTAATATCTTTAATTGATATTCTCCTTTGATTATATTGGATTCTTATTTTTATTGTCCCTTATTGGGCTTAATATTATATGGGCCTCATACAGCTAGGTAGTCTAGATGTTTGGGCTATCGGGTGTATATAAGTTAATAATTTCGGATCTTTATTATAAGAAATATCTGGGTCTCTATTGACAACTATCCAGATTCCTATTGAAAATTATCAAATTTTCCATTAAGGATCATCCGGATTTATATTGCTCAATATTGATTATATCTTGAAACTATCTATATCTTGATCTAATTGTTATCAAATCAAGCATAACAATAATTGATTCCAAGAAATAATCCATATATTTCTCAGCTGGGTAAATTGAATTCCCCATATTGTGCTCAATATTGTTGAGATATAGTTCATATTCTATCTTTCCGTTTCAATCCGGGTTATGGACATTCTTTGGTTTTTGATTATAAGTTTCCCCCAACCCGGAAGAAATGATTTCTATATCTATTTCGGTTTATGTGAAACTCACTTCACAAGAAAATATTTTCTTGATTTTCTCGTATTGTTCTTTATCTACCTCGGTTCTTAGCCATGATGATAACTTTACTCGTATAGATCCGGGATAAGAATTTCACGCTTCTCAAGTAATGATGATAATTTTACACATAGCAACTTTAAAGGCATATAGCGTATTATAGCCACAATATGCCGTCTTCGCAATTCGTGTGCATTTAATGCACAAATCGTTTCATCTATCTAATCATTACTTTTGAGGTGAATCGACATATATGCCTCTATCCTTTGCTATTCACACCTCCAACGGTTACGTTTTACCTTTCATATTCCCCCCATTTTCTCCTTCGTTTCTCATTTGCATTTCTGAGGGGTCTTCACTTTACTCTCGTCTTCCATTTTTGAAACACGAAAGTTCTGGCATTTTTCCTTCTTCGTTTGGAACGCATTTTGGTCTCCAAATATCTCTTGTTCAGGTACTTTCGTTGTTCTTTAAAATCTGTATTCTTTTAAGCTTATTATGAGTATTTCAAGTAATTTGTATTCTTGAATCTTCACCTTTTATATCATATCGTCTATTTATTCAAATACGCTTTTCTTATTGCATATTCTGCAACTTTAAATCCTTGTTGCTATCTTCCCAATATTTGCACTGTATTTCCTTAAAATTTGTGGTTGATATTTATGATTGAGTACATAATATATGTCTTTTTTCCTTGGTTGGTGTTTGATAAACCCTTAATTTATCATGTTTTAGGGCATAATAATAGAAATACATAGTCAATTGCATGAAAATTTAGGTTTTGTAGTGAAAAAGCATGAAAGTTTGATTTTAAACTAACATAATGTGATCTTGCTTGTTTTGAAGTAAGAGACATTGAGGATGATATTTAAGATCAAAAGAAGTCAACTTGGAGCAATTCACAAGCAACTTGAAGACTGATAAAGCGCTCTTTAGCGTCCTACAGCACGCTAAAGCATGCTCATAAAACAAAAATGGCCAAAACCTCTGTACTAGCGCGTAGAAGCGCTCTACAACACGCTGAAGCGCTCTACAGCACGCTCAGATGAGCAACTTTTCCTTCGAAGAGCGCGCTTAGGCAAAAAAGTTATGGTAATTCAGCGCGCTAAAGTGCACTAATGAGCACTAAAGCGGGCTAACACGATCCATTCCAGGCCCAAAAATCTTAATCAATTAGGGCATGGATTAATTACCTATAAATAGGGGATTTCAACAAAGATTAAAGAGCTTTAGATAGTTTTGATTAGAGAATCCTTTATTGCTTTCATGTGTTTTTGAATTCGCTATGCTAGGCTGGATTTCCATGAATTTAGGGGAAGATGAAACCCAATTGAGTTTATATGTTTATGAATTAATTTATCTCTGAATCTCTTCCTTTCCATAATTGAATGAATTTGTTTATGTTTAGTGCTCTTTATGAGTTTGCTCCTCATAGACTGATTTATAGAAATTGTATGACAATAGGAATGTTGGTACATGAATCCCGATTTAACAAATTTATCATAATCCTTGGGATCTAGGGATAGACATAGGGTAATTATGCAATCTTGTGATTCTTGATCATAATGCATATCTTCTTGAGGAATAATCGGGGAACTACGATTTTTTTCAAGATTACATAGAATTAGGGTAACAAGAGATTGAGCTCTAATAAATGTAGAAAGAATTGATTGGCAATATATTAAGGACGAATTCTTGACTTTTTAATTCATAACATATAGAGGAGATTAGGGAAAATTGAAACCCTGACTACACTTGTTTCAATTGTCAAAAATCAACCTTTTCTTAAATTCTTAAATTCTTAAATTCATATGTTCTTAATCAATTTAGTTTTAATTCAACATTATTAATAATTGTTTGTTCAAATAAATCGCGATAGCGAACTAGTACTTGAATATCGATCCTCGTGGGAATGATCTCGTACTCATGTACACTTTAATACTTATTACAGGTATACTTGCCGAAGTTACAACAACGTTTATGCGTATATAACCTTATTCTACTTCTCCTTTATTTCAAAAGATTTGAGCATTTGCTCTATTTGATTTTTTTTTACGAGAGGAAAAAAAAAATTCCATCATACTAGCCATAGTGATACAACAAAGGAGGATGAGGCCAAATCTCTTCGAAGTATTCCCCTTGGACCCTGATTTTGGCTTTAGGGGATACCTCGAACCGAAGAAAAGAAACAGGAAGCACTACTTCGGGACTATCGTAGAGGAGGTAGTAAGAAAAGATCTGGATTATCAAATCCTATGATCCAGGGAAATCCTATAAGTCGGGGTCGTTCTATTTCAAAAACTCAAAATCCCCAATATTTTTCAAGAACTGACTCAAATCTATCACGGATAGTTTCTTATCAAACCTTGGATATAGCAACTTCCTCATTAGTTTGAACTCCAAAAACCTTAGAGTCAAGTAAGGAGAAACTAGTTGATACTTGTTATTCTTTTGTATTCTTAAGTTATAATCTTGTGGAATGAGTTTGTGACTCTTTAGCCGAGTTTACTTTAATGAGTTGTTTACACAAAAATATTTTGAAACCTAAATCGGCTCCAGGTGATGCAATTCATCCAATTTCAATATCGGATGCGTTATCAAGCTTATCAAGTGATAGTTTTTTTGATTCAGGTATGTCTTTAGTAATTTTTGATTCTGTCTTTCCTTGTTTTAGGTATTATGGGGTCATTTTCTACATAAATTATAGCAAAGTCATGCTTTGCTGAGTCAGATTTCGAACATCCTCTAGCTGCTTTGATATCTAAATATCCTTGGGTCACATATGAATCTTAAAAACTTTATTTGAGATGAGTGTGGAGGATGTTGTCGAGCTTTCTGTTGGTAAAACATAAGATTATTATGTTATTCCTCCCAATGAAAATGAGCTAATGTGATAAACCTTCTTTTTTCTTTTTCTATCGAGATATGATTACCAAAATCGGTCTTCGATTTCCTTTATCCGAATTTCAAATTAGTCTTTTAAATCATCTTAATATTGCTTCTACTCAACTTAACCCTAATAGTTGGGGTTTTGTCAAAGCTTTTGAGCACTTTTATGCATATTTAACCTTGCCTTCTACTATTCCACTTTTCTTTTATTTCTTCTCAATCCTTACTTCTCGTATTGGTCGTGAGCCTTGAGAAAGAATAGGCTGGATTAATATCCGAGGTCATCCCTCCAGAAAACTTTTCAATGTTTATTCTAACTTCTTTAAAAACTTTAAAGAAGGATATTTTAAGGTTGTTGCCCGAGTTGGAAAACAACCTTGGTTTCTTTCTTCTTCTAAAGTAGGAGAGGTTGAAGGGAAGTTTCCACTTTATTGGTCTACAGACCATCATAATTTTTGTCCACCAAGTTACCATTTCAAAGAAATTTAACTTTCGGATATTGAAATTGACACAGCTGCAGCTTTACTTGCAAATGTGAAAAAGCATGGCCATGTTGGCATAGCTT